TAACAGATATATTTAGAACTCTGCATCCCAAAGCAACAGAATATACTTTCTTCTCGAGTGCACATGGAACATTCTCCAAGATAGATCACATACTGGGTCAGAAAACAGCCCTTCATAAGTATAAAAGAATTGAGATCATACCATGCACACTTTCAGACCACAATGCTATGAAACTAGAAATCAGCCATAGGAAAAAGCCTGGAAAATCTCCAAAAGCATGCAGGTTAAAGAACAACCTACTAAAGAATGAATGGTCAACCAGGCAATTAGAGAAGAAATTTAACAATATATGGAAACAAATAAAATTGAAAATATAACAATGCAAATGCTTTGGGATGCAGTGAAGGCAGTCCTGAGAGAAAAATACATTGCAATCCAGGCCAATCTCAGGAAACAAGAAAAATCCCAAATACAAAATCTAAGAGCACACCTGAAGGAAATAGAATCAGAACAGCAAAGACACCCTAAACCCAGGAGAAGAAGAGAAATAATAAATATCATAGCAGAAATAACCAATATAGAATCTAAAAAAAACTGTAGAGCAGATCAATGAAACAAAGAGTTGTTTTTTTGAATACATACACAAAATTGGCACAACTCTAGCAAGGCTTCGCAAATAGAAAAGGGAGATGACCCAAATAGATAAAATCATGAATGGAAGTGGAATTATTACAACCAATCCCTCAGAAATACAAGCAATTATCAGGGAATACGATGAAAAATTATATGCCAACACCCTGGACAACCTAGAAGAAATGGACAAATTCCTAAACACTAATTGATTGGAAGAATAAATGTTGTTAAAATGTCAATACTACTTAAAGCTATCTACACATTCAATGCAGTCCCAATCAAAACTGTACCTTCATTCGTCTCAAAGCTACAACAAACAATCCTACAATATGTTTGGAACCACAAAATACCCTGTGTAGCCCTGTGTAGTAATTTTGAAGAAGAAGACCAAAGCGGGAGGCATCACAATCCCACACTTTAGCCTCTCTTACAAAGCTGTAATCATCAAGACAACGTGGTATTGGCACAGAAACAGACACATCGACCAATGGAACAGAATAGAGACTCCAGAATCGGACCCACAAAAATATGGCCACCTAATCTTTGACAAAGCAGGAAAGAATATCTCATGCAAAATTGACAGTGTCTTTAACAATTGGTGCTGGGAGAACTGGACAGCAGCATGCAGAAGGTTGAAACTAGAACACTTTCTTATACCATTCACAAAAATAAACTCAAAATGGGTAAAGGACCTGAATGTGAGACAGGAAACAATCAAACCCTAGAGGAGAATGCAGGAAAAAAAACTCTCTGACCTCAGTCTCAACAATTTCTTACTTGACACATCTTCAAAGGCAAGGGAATTAGAAGCAAAAATGAACTATTGGAACCTCATGAAGATGAAAAGCTGCTGCACTGCAAAGGAAACAATCAACGAAACTAGAAGGCAACCTACAGAATGGGAAAAGATATTTGCAAATGACATATCAGACAAAGGGCTAGTATCCAAAATGTATAAAGAACTCACCAAACTCCACACCCCAAAAACAAATAATCCAGTGAAGAAATGGGAAGAAAACATGAATAGACACTTCTCTAAAGAAGACATCCAGATGGCCAACAGGCACATGAAAAGATGCAAAATGTCGCTCCTCATCAGGGAAATACAAATCAAAACCACACTCAGATTCCACCTCATGCCAATCAGAGTGGCTAAAAGGAACAAATCAGGAGACCATAGATGCTAGTGGGAACCCTCTTTCACTGTTGGCGGGAAAGCAAACTGGGCAGCTGGTCTGGAAAACAGAGTGGAGGTTTCTCAAAAAAATTAAAATTAGGTGCTCCAGGGTGGCTCACTTGGGTGAGCATCCAACCTCAGCTCAGGTTATGATCTCACAGCTCGTGAGTTTGAGCCCCACATCAGGCTCTGTGCTGGAAGCTCAGAGCCTGGAGCCTGATTCTGCTTCTGTGTCTCCCTCTCTCTCTGACCCTAACCCAGTCTCATTCTGTCTCTGTCTCTCTCAAATATAAATAAACATTTAAAAATTAAAAATAAATCTGCCCCATGACCCAGCAATGGCACTGCTAGGAATTTACCCAATGGATTCAGGATTGCTGATGCATAGGGGCACTTGTACCCCGATGTTTATAGCAGCACTCTCAACAATAGCCAAATTATGGAAAGAGCCTAAATGTCCATCAACTGATGAATGGATAAGGAAATTGTGGTTTGTATATACAATGGAATACTACTTGGCAATGAGAAAGAATTAAATATGTTGGATGGAATTGGAGAGTGTTATGCTAAGTGAAATAAGTCATACAGAGAAAGACGGTTACCATATGTTTTCACTCTTATGTGGATCCTGAGAAACTTAACAGAAGACCATGGAGAGGGGGAGGAAAAAAATGTTAGAGAGGGAGAGAGCCAAACCATAAGAGACTCTTAAAAACTGAGAATAAACTGAGGGTTGATGGGGGATGGGAGGGAGGGGAGGGTGGGTGATGGGCACTGAGCAGGGCACCGGTTAGGGTGAGCACTGGGTGTTGTATGGAAACCAATTTGAAAATAAATTTAATATTTAAAAAATAGAAATATAAAAAAAGTCACATGGGATTGTGTTGTGTGTGTATGAGGGGATAGCCAGCCCTACTGTCACAACTTCCCTTTCCTAACTGTGAGTTGCTCAAAATTAGACAACTGAATTCAGACCTGTGTGAAAATCAACCATGAATTTTATCCTAATACACTTACTACCTCCCCTTTTCAAAAATGAGAATATTGAATGTACCTCCTCAGATTATGGCGATCATTAAAATAAAAAAAATGAAGGTGAAATATTAAGCAAAATGCATAAACTATTTAATGAACAAAAAAACATTTTATGTTTATTCTTACTGTTGTTATTTATAGTTATTTTATGGTGTTAAACTATTTTTACTCCCCCAATGAAGGTTTAACTAATTCATCTTATGTTTTGGTTTTTTTTTTTAATTTTTAATGTTTATTTATTTATTTTTGAAAGAGAAACAGAGCATGAGAGGAGGAGGAGCAGAGAAAAGGAGAAACAGAATTCAAAGCAGGTTCCAGGCAATGACGCCCCTCACTTTATGCTTCTTAAAGTGACTCTAGAAATAAAATATTTAATGAAATTCCCCTTTGATCAAAGTATGGCCTGGGCGCCTGGATGGGTCAGTCGGTTGAGCATCCAACTTCAGCTCTGGTCATGATCTCACAGTTTGTGAGTTCGAGCCCCGCGTTGGGCTCTGTGCTATAAGCTCAGAGCCTGGAGCCTGTTTCAGATTCTGTGTCTCCCTCTCTCTCTGCTCCTCCCCTACTCAGGCTCTGGCTCTGGCTCTCTCTCTCTCTCTCTCTCTCTCAAACAACAACAACAACAACAAAGTATGGCCATGTGTAGAGGAACAAACAAGGTTTAAAATACAATAAATTTTAGACCTCAATTAGAAAAGTTGAACCATGACATTCAGGTTTCAGAAAAAATTCCTCAACTAGCCATTCTAACATCTGTAGGTGCCGTTTCAAAAATACTGCAGAAGCCTGTAAAACTGGATCTTTCCAGTATCTCTGATATTATTTTAACTTTATTATTCCCCTTTCTCATTTATGTGAGATAGAGAATACAATTTTGATTAAAATGTCATCAAAAAAGTTCTGAAAAGCAGGTTAAAATTAAGCAAAATAACAAAGCGAAAAAGATAACCCTAATTTCTAAACTTCATATTTTAAACTATTGTATTAAATTACATTTCTTATTTTGTTGTTAGTTCTTTGCAGAGGACATAAATATAAATTTTAAAATATAGAGTTGTATTAATAAATATATATTTATAAGTATTTTCTTTGCAAAAACAACAACCTCCCTAAAGATGCCAAATTTCTTGGCTGCAGATGTATATATATGTATATATATGTATATATATATATATATATATATATATATGTATATACATATGTATACATATGTATATGTATATGCATACATATGTATGTATGTACGTATACATATGCATATATATATTTCTTGGCTTATAGGTATATAATGATTTACTGGTACAAGTTTAGAAATATACACTGAAAAAAATACTAGAACCCTATGTTCTGTAACCTATTTTTTATCCTTGCTCTTTAGGCAAAAAGTACTTACTAGGGAAGAATGTACCAGATTTTCAAGACACGATAACACCAATGGAATTGAAATATATTATGATGCATAATCAAAGCAAATAAACATATAAACTTTTAATCCAAGCCCAATGGATATTGAGGAAGAGATGTTTTACAAAAGTATCAATTTTAATGAAAATAATCTTTGAAAATGGAATAAAAGTGGTTTTCCAGAAAAACATAGCAAGTAAACCAAATGTAATTTTATTTAAAAATTTCCAAATAATCTTATTAACATCATATTCTGTATATTATGTTTTTTCCCCAGTATGAAAATTGATAGTTCACAAAGAAAGATGCACATATGGGCCGTGAGTTAATATGGAAATCCTCAGGAACATTAATAATTAGGAAAATGTAAATTGAAACCAAAATGAGTTAGTCTATCCATGCTAGAATAGCGAAAATGAAAATGGTTGACAGTACCCACAATTGGTACCAATTGGAGAAAGTGGCATTCTTGTGATTTGCGGCTGAGCATGTAAAATTGAGCAAACATTTTGTTGCATTTCATACTAAAATTTTAGTCATGCATCTACCAAGTGAAATAAACATATGTGATCACAAAAAGGAAGTTAAAGTTATTTTAATCAAAATAGTTCCAGATTGAAAATAGCTCACATATCCATCAAAGTAGTAGATAAACAAAGAGCAGTAGATTCAGAGATGGGCATATTATTTAGGAACAACAACAAAAATAAAGAAGAAAAAACTGCTGATAGATGTAAATTGTGGTAGAATCTTTAAAAACATATTAAATCAATAAAAATAAAAATAACCAAGTTATTAAAAAATACCTATTTTATGTTTTCATTGAAGCAAAATTCTAGAACAGACCAAATTATAGGACAGAGATACAAGTGTGACTAATTGTTGTATCTGGGTTGAGTGATTTTACTGGAAAAGTGCATGAAAAAAAATTCTGATCTGGTCAGAATTGCCTTTTACTAGTGGGCTAAATCCAAGTTGTTGACACTGGGTGAATAGCAAGCTTCAGATGTGAGCATTCTAGTGTTTGTAAGTTATACCACAATTAAAAACAAATTAACAACTAATGTTGAAAATTGTTTGACTACTTGGCTCATTCTTTGAACAAATATTTATTGTGTGGCGTGATGTAAAAGCGTTTTAATGATTTTGATTAACAGACTTTTAACAATCCACAATTTGATGTATTCATGAGAGCATAGTAAAAGATCCAAACTATGGAGGCCTGTCAGAATTTCAAAGTAAACTAGTAATGGATATAGATATTATACATATATACCTTTTCTCTAGAAAATCCTACACAGTCACTTCATACAGACTTTAAATTTAGAGCAAATCTATGTAATCTTAACCCTGACTTAAGGCAGAACACTGACCCATACACTTTCTCAAGGCACCCTTGACTTCACTGTTTCTCAGACTATAGATGAGGGGATTGAGTACAGGGGTGAAGATAGTATAGAACACTGACACTACTTTATCATGGTGAGCTGACCTGTAGGATTTGGGTTGCATATAGGTAAAAATTGCAGCTCCATAAAAGAGTCCCACCACAGAAAGATGTGAGGAGCAGGTGGCAAAAGGCTTTTTGGGGGTTTCTCTAGAATGCATCTGGAGAACTGCAGCAAGGATGAGACTATAGGAAATCAGAATGAGAGAAAATGGGACCAGGAGCATTAACACACAACATACGTACATCGCATACTCAAAGACAAACGCGTCGGCACAAGCTAAACCCACCAGAGTAGGGGCCTCACAGAAGAAATGATTGATCTCATGTGCATCGCAAAATGGAAAACTCAGGGTAGCAGCAGCCTGCATGAGCCCATCCGCTGCCCCCAGGACCCAAGACCCCACAGTCATTTTCAGGCATAATTGCCAGCTCATGAGGGCTGGGTATCGCAGTGGGTGACAAACATCCACATACCGGTCATAGGACATGGCTGCTAAGAGGAAACACTCACCCCCTCCTAAAGTTAGAAGGAAGAATATCTGCAACCCGCATTCAGCAGGGGAGATGGACATCTTTCCAGTCAAGTAGTTAGTAGCCATTTTGGGCACAATGGTAGAGACCAGCATCATGTCCATGAGGGAGAGTTGGCTCAGTAGGAAGTACATGGGTGTGTGGAGCTGGGCATCTTGGTGAATCAGGAGAATCATGAGGGCATTTCCCACTAGGGAGGCGAAGGCAATTGTGAGAACCATTGCAAAGAGAAATAGATGGGCTTCTGTGTGGTTAAAGAGTCCTAGGAGAATGAAATCAGAGGTGGTGTTCCCATTTTTCATGATTTTCAAACTGGAAATGAAGAAATAGATGACAGTTTTCATCATTTGCAGTGCTCCATTTGAATTACATATCTGAAAATAATAAAACTTATTTCAAATATTTTATTTGCCATTTTCAAAATATTTTAACGTGGACATAAATTTAATTTCAACTTTTTCCACTTTTTCTTTCTTTAAAAGTTTCAAAATAAGTACCCTTTATTAATTGGCATAATGAATGAATTAATTCATTAATTAATTGACATAATGAAAAATTTTTGGTAAATTACAATAATATGAAGTGTGTCTTTGTACCACAGGCAGCAACATATGTGAGCAGGAGGATAATTTTTACATAATTTGTAATTTATGTTTGTGTTTTGCCTTATATCATGCATAGTCAATATTCTTAGGAGCTGAGTTAAATCAGTTTGTTTTAAATATATAAAATCAAGGTCCTTGATATAAGAGTTACACATGTAAAACATATTAAAATCAGATCATCTTTATTGATATCATTTAATTATGGAAGCCATTGTTTTTCCAAACAAGAGGACTTACATTTTCAGGTCTAGGAACTAAAATACTGAGTCTGCAGAAAGAAACATAGCTTAATTTGGAATTGTTAGTGAATTAGTTTAACAGTAATGGCTTTAGAATATTTCCCTTAATGTGACACTGCAATACTAAATGCAGATTTTAATTAAGAAGGTACTTTGTATAATCAAATGAAATTGTTTCCCCTTAAAGTCACAGAAACACAACTTTACTGAGTAAGGAAGAGGAGGTAAACATTTTTCATTCTTCACCCAACCACAGAGGTAAATTCTCTTCAGTCAGAAAGGAATCTAATCTTTAAAGGCCTTTTCATCTCTGATTTTGTCTAGCTTGTTGAATAAATAATAGCTGCAGACATGGGGATACACATTATTTCTCAAAGATATTGTATACTTCAGTGAAATTATGTAATAAAAGGAGTCCACCTCTTCCATGGACAATTCTCTTTGCCCTCACTTTACACAGGCATCCCTTAATTGAATGCCGTTCAGGATGGATAAAGGCAGTGCAAAAGGCTTATTCAGCCTCTAACTCCAGTTCTTGAGCATCATTACTGTACTGGTAGTATTCTACTTGACATTTTTAGTTGATCATTTCAAAATTAGACATGTTGAAAATACATTTCATCCTGTTAAATGTATTTTGCATTTGCTAAAATTCTGTGATCTCCACATCCTTGAAACTCTAACATGCAGTCTATACCTCTAGTAACTAAATGAAATCTCTAAATATAGAGTTCAGTATCACTTTCCTGAAGAACTTCAAAATCCTGCCATGTAATTTATTTGACATGTAGGTTATTATTTTCCATCCTCCTATTGTTGAAGATTGACAGAACATTAAAACTATTTGAAAAGCAGTAGGCATCTTAGTAACTGTAGGGTGTTGGACAAGCCTCTTAATTCTTTGCTACTATCTTACTTATTTTTTAGTGTACTGCCAGTAGAGTGGCATTAAGTATTTTCACTTTGTTATATAATCATCACCAATATTAATCCCCTGGAAAATTTTCATATTCTCAAACTGAAACTCTTGTATCCATTATATAATAACTTCCTTTCCTTATTCTCACAGCCACTGGCAAATGCCATTCTATCTTCTGCCTGTATATATTTGACTAACTTACATACTTCAGATAAGTGGAGCTATGCAGCAGTGTGTGTGTGTGTGTGTGTGTGTGTGTGTGTGTGTGTGAAAGAGAGAGAGAGAGACAGAGAGACAGAGAGAGATTGGCTTATTTCATACAACATAAAATCCTCAATGTTCATCCATGCTGTAAAATGTGCCAGAATACTCTTCCATTTTGAGGCTGAATAATATTACTTTGTATGCCTAAACTACATTTTACTTATAAACTCATATCAATAAATGTCTATGGACATTTGTGTTTTTTCCACTCCAGTCATATACTTAAGTAACTATTTAATGGGATTTTGAGTTACAGATACTCATTATTGGTTATTTTGATTGTATATATATATATATATATATATGGCATAAAAATATAGTAATTTGCACTAAATTTTGCTTGCATCATGCAAGATAAGTGTATGCGTTTTTAGAGAATAATTACAGTTTACATGAGAATAATCACAGTTTTCTAGGTTAAAAAATGCATTTCTTATCATCATGTTTCTACTTGTGGTTAAGTGTATCTTTAAATGTGAAATGGGGCACCTGGGGGCGGCTCAGTAAGTTAAGCATCTTATTCTTGATTTCATCTCAGGTCATGATCTCATTGTCTGTGAGATCGAGTCTTGCATCCGGCTCTGCACTGTCAGCACAGACAGTGCTCCCTCAATCTGCTCCTCTTCTGCTATCATGCATATGCTCTTTCTTTCTCTCAAAAATGAACATTAAAAAATGTGAAATAATTAAGTCTTTGTTTTTCAAAGGATATAAGTGATAGCTATACACTTTCTTTCTGGTGAAATAAATATATAAAAAACAATTGTCGTAATCCTATTGACTACTTGGAACGCTCATAGTGTTTAGATTACTTAATGGAAAAATCAACTAAACATGTCAATTAAATACAATGAATAGAAGTATTTATATTTTACTAAGATGTGATGATATTTATTTATATGTTTAATTAAAAATCTTATCTGGGGTGCTTAGGTGTCTCAGTCAGTTATGATGTCATGATGTCACAGTTCATGAGTTCCAGCTCTGCATCAGGCTCTCTGCCATCAGTGCAAAGCCTGCTTTGGATCCTCCATCCTCCCCTCTCTCTGCCCTTCCCCTACTCTCTCTCTCTCTCTCTCTCTCTGTCTCATACACACACACAAATAAGACTATTTGCCATTAATTGGAATGTTTATAAATTTACACACATAAGATTATAAAGAATTATTTCTAAGAAAATTCACTATGGATATAAAGTGCAGTGGAAACTTATATGAGGAATTAACTTAGCTTGCAAGTAAGATATCTACAATGGTATTTAATAGAATGATGAAAACTCAACATTGACTAGTGTGGCAATATGAAAATTTAATACTGTGAAAAATAAACACTTTTTTTTCACCTTTGATATATGGCTTGATAATATTAGAGGTTTTTGGTCTTTTTATCTGTTTCCCTAATATTTCACTTAGAATGGTGGTAAAATTGTGATATCATTACTTTAAACCACAAACTCATCTCTTTTGTAATACTATTAGAAGGCACAAATACATCTTCTCTTTCTCTCATAAAATAATCAGAATATTTAGGAGGTTATCTAGAATTTTCCCTTCTGTATTTTTCTGATCCCCGTTGCCTTCACTTACTATTAAAAGTATGACTCTTCTTCCCCAGGATACTGAGATCAATCAATTCTTTCTGTACAAAATAAAATAGTAACAGCTAAATCATTTATTTGACTGAATTGACAGGTTAGTGCAAGAGTTTTAATCTTACTAAGCTAGCATTAATTTTAGTTCTTCGGATTGTAGGTTAGATAACAATGGATTTTATATGTAAAACTGTATACAGGATATAGTATTACTATAGTTTTCTGGAGTGCAAAATCCATTAAAAATACTAAATATTAAGAGATTAGTGTGATCTACTCACATAAAATTATGACTCCCAGTAGGCTGCATCTGCCTCCTCTTTGAGCAGCATCACCCTAAATACCTCTTCTAGTCTGGCCACATCAAACTTGCTCATATCAGTGTCTACTGTGACCTATTAAGGGGATCGCCCTCTTGACATCTTTTCTAAAAATACCTTCTTATTAATATGCCAATGTTGCATAAGTCTGACTCTTTCCATGACAATGGTATTTAATTGTTACAGATTTTAGATATTTCTAGAACTTAAATATAATTTCCTCTGCCCTTTTGGAAAGCCATGATTCATTAAAATAAGAGACAATCATTTACAAGGAAAAGTAAAGTGTACATAAATGATCCTGGAAAGGGATGACTATTTAAAATACATTAAAGAGTAGATTTATCTGATTCTGACATTACTTTTTAAAATTTGAAAAGGAAGAAAGATTAAAGAATTTGTTAAGAGACAAACTTTTGTTAAAGATACTAATTAAAATGATGAAATGTATATATGGAATTTAAGAAACAAAACATATGAATATGGGGGAGGAAAGAGAGACAAACCTTAAAATAGGCTGTTATGTATAAAGAATAAACTGAGGTTTGCTGGAGGTGAGGTGGGCAGGGTGACAGATTAAATGGGTGATGGCTATTAAGAAGGGTACTTGTGATGAGCACTGAATGTTGCATGTAAATGATGCATCACTAAATTCTACACCTGAAACTAATATTACACTGTATGCTTAACTGCAATTAAAAAAAAAAAAGACTTGAAAAAGAAAAAGAAATGTGAAATTCATTTTGAAATTCAGCTATTTTTTGGAACTTAAATTGACAGAATCTCTGTGTTCCATAAGTTTCAAAGTTTATATTTATATTATTGTGGGGAAATACGTTCAAGAATTCCTTATACTTAAATAAATGGGTTAAAAAAAAAAGCTTAGGGTGGAAAGCCACCGCCACAGGGAAAAAGCACCCAAGGTTATTTAGCAAGATTTATAATGCAATCACAAGTAACTTGTTATATTACCTGCAAGAAACTACTTTACATCGGGTGCCAATATACTTTGATCACAACTTCAAACTCCACTTGCCCCCCAGACCCTTTGCTTCTTACACACTGAAGTTAATTACTATCTGATTGTTTCATTCTGTACATTCACCACATATGCAAAATCTTGAAAGTTCAATAAATATGAAGATGAAACCCCTGCTGGGGGCTAATGTCTCCTCCCAGAGATTGGCCTCTCTTGTATTCGATCCTGTGTCTGCTCTCTTACTGGACAAGAAAACTTCAGACAAATAGTCTGAGACATATTATGTCATTTTAATTTTAGAGTTTATGTTTCTTTGTATTTAAATAATTAAAATAAATGGGGTGCCTAAGTGGCTCAGTCGGTTGAGTGTCCAACTTCGGCTCGGGTCATGATCTTGCAGTTTATGAGTTCAAGCCCCACGTCGGGCTCTGTGCTGACAG